AGGTGATGAGAAAGACCTTGACCTGAGACCCTGGCTCAGTGGCAGAGCCTCTGCTTGGCATGCAGAAGGTCCCCGGTTCAATCCCCAGCATCTCCAGTTAAAAGGACCAGGCAGGAGGTGATGAGAAAGACCTTGATCTGAGACCCAGGCTCAGTGGCAGAGCCTCTGCTTGGCATGCAGAAGGTCCCCGGTTCAATCCCCAGCATCTCCAGTTAAAAGGACCAGGCAGGAGGTGATGAGAAAGACCTTGATCTGAGACCCAGGCTCAGTGGCAGAGCCTCTGCTTGGCATGCAGAAGGTCCCAGGTTCAATCCCCGGCATCTCCAGTTAAAAGGAACAGGCAGGAGGTGATGAGGAAGACCTTGACCTGAGACCCTGACTCAGTGGCAGAGCCTCTGCTTGGCATGCAGGAGGTCCCAGATTCAATCCCCGGCATCTCCAGTTAAAGGATCTGGCAGTAACTGGTATGGAAGACCTCTGTCTGATTCCCTGGAGAGCTGCTGCCAGTCTGAGTAGGCAATACAGAGGTTGATGGATGAAGGCAAGGGCTGTGGTTCAGCGGCAGACCTAAACTTGGCATGCCGAGAAGGTCCCAGGTTCGATCCCTGATATCTGCAGTTTAAAAGGACCAGGCGGTAGGTAACGTGAAAGACCTCGACCTGAGACCCTGTAGAGCGGCTGCCGATCTGAGTCGACCGTACTGACTTAGGTAGACGAAGGGGTCTGATTCGGTATAAGGCAGCGTGACATGGTGTGATCTAAAAGGTGAGCAGTTCCTGACGGAATGTTTATTTCGACATAAAAAAGGATTTCAAGAAAGACATGGTTTTTTTTAAAAAAACAACAACACATTTATTTACAAAAATGTGTGTCTGTTCACAAAGCACATGAGTCCAAGTTCACTGCACTCCTGGCACACTGTTTTCCCCCCCCTCCCTGTCCTCTTTTTCCGTTTTGCTGCCATGCCATAGACCAGGGGCGGCCAAACTTGCTTTAACGTAAGAGCCACACAGAATAAACGTCAGATGCTTGAGAGCCACAAGACATGAACAAATATCACACAAACGTTTTTATTGGGAAATATGCAAATTTGCTTCTTATTAACATTAAATGAGACTGTGTGAAAGAGCCGCATGTGGCTCCCGAGCGGTGTTCCCTCTAAGCTGAGTTAGTGAGAGCCAGGGGTCATTTAGTAGAAAAAGAGGTGCAGGAGCTCATTCGCATAACTCATTAGCAGGGGTCATTTCCTGCGGGAGCGCACAGGAGCGGAGCTCCGGCAGTAAAGAGCCCAGGGGGCGGGCACATGCAACACGCCCCGCCCCCTGCTCCCAGCAGCCCTCAGTCAGAGCAAGAAGCAGCCAGGTAAGCTGCAGAGCCCCCCCCCCAGCCCCCCGGTCCAAAACAGTCCAGTGGCACCTTTAAGTCCAAGTTTTCAGGCACAAGCTCTCCCTCCTCTGCGAGGACAGATCTCACACTTCCGGTGAGGTCGGGGGTGTGGCATATGCAAATAAGTTGTGCAAATACGTTTTGCTAATGAGCTCCTCCACCTCTTTGTCTACGAAATGACCCCTGCTCATTAGCATAACTTATTTGCATATGCCACACTCTCTGACATCACCGGAAGTGTATCAGAAGGCAACACCCACCGCTCAGGCTCCACTGGACTGTTTTGGATTGCTAGCTATTGGGGGGGGGGGTTGGAACATGCAGATCTGTCCTTGAGAGCCAGTTTGGTGTAATGGTTAAGTGTGCGGACTCTAATAAGAACATAAGAGACGCCAATGTTGGATCAAGCCAAAGGCCCATCCAGTCCAACACTCTGTGTCACACAGTGGCCAGAAATACCAGGTGCCCTCAGGAGGTCCACCAGTGTTCTGGAAGAACCGGGTTTAATTCCCCACTCCTCCACTTGCACCTGCTGATGTGACCTTGGGTGAGTCACAAGCTCTGGCACAGCTGTTCCTGAAAGAGCAGTTTGTGTCAGAGCTCTCTCAGCCCCACCCACCTCACAGGGTGTCTGTTGTGGGGAGGGGAAAGGAAAGGAGTTTGTAAGCCGCTCTGAGACTCCAAGTGAAGGGC